AAAAGTAATGCAATATATTACAGGAGAATTGCTGGAATTTTACTATCACGTCACCTCCTGGCCCACATCTGCAACCCATGAAACCGAAGAAGTGGATGCTGAGTGGTGGTATTCCTAACCCCCCCCCCCCCCCCCCAGCTACGTGCATGTGTTGTGCAATAATATGTTATAATAGTTTATTTGTCAACCTTGCATTATTTATAAAACACAGGCTACTAAAAATAAAATATAAACTATATAATTTACCTAAAAAACAGTACATGTCCACAATATATTTTTTTAAATATTTCAGATACAAACCCTTTTTAACAAATAAGACATGATCTCTTACACTCATCCTAAATAGCTTTATATTTGATATGTACATGTCAAATTTATATGTCAAATAACAAAATAGTTATTTGGTTTTTGTTTTAATTTACTTAGAATGCCATTTTTGGACTAGTATTGTTCTTTGACTCACCCATTCATTTACTTATCTATTAGTTGTTGTCTCTTTGATGCCATTTCTCCATCGTTAGATTCGACAAACCTTCCCGATTCTAGTGGATATCTGAAATCTTTAAAATCATCATCGTCTTCGTCTCCAATATTATTTCCAGTTTGCATTGGTTCTTCATCCACAATTTCATCTAAATTATTAACTTCCTCGTAGGTTTTTCTTCCACATTGGAGAATTTTTAGAACCATGACAATATTAGCATAAATTTATGCATTTTAAACCATGTTTTAAACTGTTACATCCAGTTTCACAGGAGCAGAAAATAGTTTTAAGCAATATTTCGTTGATGTTGCTTCCAGCCCCAATCTGTTGCTGTCAGTTCGTTACCCAGCTAAGTTTGAAGTTAATAATATGCCCTGTAACAATGTTGTTCTGCTACACCTTCTGTGGGTGAGAGATTTGCCAATATGAAAGATGATTTAATTTTTACCAATTGATATTTTCGAAATCTTAATTGATTTAGTGTTATATTATCATTTTTACATTTATAAATAGATTTGATTAATTGTAATCCATTGGTTGGTAATTACAGTAGTATATTTCGATTTGCAATTGTTTTGTTTTTGAGTAATTAAAGTGTAAATTTTAATAAATAACTGGTAAATTTTGTTCACAATGAATATAGCCAATTTTGATATTTCCAAGTTTATATGTGGACATGTTCATAATAAAGTAGGAAAAATGATATAGGGTAACTACGAAAATCTAAATTACGACAATGTACAATATTTTTACAATTTCTTAGTATATTATTCGGTTTACGTGAGTTGAGCTCATAAATAGAGTTACACGATGAATAATTTGAAGAAGTAAACAAATTCGCTGAAATTGGCTTCGTTAATGATTAATTTTCTAGAGGAAAGATTATACTACATATTATATAAGTAAACTCGCAACGAATCATTGTTTTGTTTTAGGCTTAGATAAAAGAGACCAGAGATATAACATACACTGGTGTTTAACCTGCGCAAATGTTGCCAATTTCTAAAGAAAGGTTAACGGAGTGGGGGAACTGGGCAGGGACTCGAACTCTGTGACAGGGACCGGACTTTGTTTTTTAGCATCATAATGAACTATTAGATTTATTTAAAATATACGTTTAATGGAATTTTGTATTATGAAATAAATTTAACGTGATTTTTTAATATCAAACAGATGCCACGACATTTTATGTAAAGAGAAGACCTTTTATAGAATATTTCGTTAGCTATTATTTACTATGGACTTTTCTGCAAGAGACTACAGTAAAATGTTGAAATAGAATATTGTTAATCGAGTAAGAAATGGTACTCATTGTCTAAGAGTATTATAAAAAAGCATGTGCGCAGTCGCCTGCGCAAATCAAACCTTGTGAGTTAAACATTATATTTTTTTCTTTGACAATCACATAATATTAAAATTTAGTTAAATTGAGAAAATACTGTTTTGTATTATAATCTCAGAAAAAGATATATTAAAGCTTGTTTCTTTAGGAATATTAATTAATATAGAGGATGCGTCACATAAAACTCTAGAAATGTATATGTCTGAAACCAGATAACATTTTAAAATTTAAACCTATTAAAAGTCATTTGGTCGCTAGGAGTGGGTGATTATCGAAATAAATTATTGATCATTAATAATAATAATAATTATTTTCGATTAATCGATTATTTTCAAACAATCTATTTTTGTTCCTATTTCCTTTAAAATAGACCACTTGATTATCTTTAAAAAATAAAAAAAAATAGATTAATTAAAAAGCCAATTAACCGATAAATCAGTGTTTACAAAAAAATAATAAACGAATTATCGTTTATTTTAAATAATCGATTATTTTTAATTTCTATTTTTTTTTTCGTATTTCCATTGAAACAGATTATTCGATAATCTTTGAAAAATCTAAAATAATCGAGTAATCAAAAATAATCGATTAATTAAAAAGACGAATAATCGATAAATCGATTTTTCAAAAAAAAAAAAAAAAGAATTATTTCCTTTAAAATCAATTATTCGATAATTTTTGAAACATCGAAAATAATCGATTAACGGAAAATAACCAATTAATTAAGAAGATTCTACAATAAATCGATTTTCCGAAACAAAAAAAAAAACTGAATAATTATTGATTATTTACAAATAATCCTTTTCTTTTTTTATATTTCTTTTAAAACTGATCATTTAATTTTCTTTGAAAAATCGAAAATAATTGATTAATAAAAAGCTGATTTACCGATAAATCAATATTTCTAAAAATAACCGAAATATCGATTATATAATATAACCGATTATATTCGATCAATCGATTATTTGTATATAATCTATTTTTTGTATTTTAAAACAAATTATTCGAATACCTTTGAAAAACCGAAAATAATCGATTAATCTAAAATAATCGATTAATCGAAAATAATCGATTAATCGAAAATAATCGATTAATTTTAAAAGTCTATTAAACAATAAATCGATTTTTCTAAAAAATCGATTATTTTCAATAAATCAAATATTTTAAATAAATCTACTCTCTTTTTATAATTCCTTTATAATCGATTATTCCATTACCTAAAAAACCGAAAAAAATTTATTAAAAATGTTCGATTAATCAAAAATAATCTGTTAAAGATAATCGATTAATTATAACGGATAAATCGATTTTCATGAAAACGATAAATCGATTATTTTTGTAACCCCTATCGGTCGCATGCTTTTATCAGAGCATTTAGCTCCAAAATTTAGAGATTCGGATTTATTGATCCTGTTATCTTTGAAACCGCATTCGATTGTATAATAAATATTGCTAGAATTTTAATTTTTTTAGTAAACGAAGATATTTTTCGAGTTGTTTAGGGGTTTATAATGTAACATTTTACTAATTATATGACTAATTTCCGTAACTTTAGTATTTTTTGCTTATACTAGATCATATTGCGCGTTTTACTTTGTTTTAAGATTTAAGATTCAAATGTCACTTCCGATTTAACCGCAAATAAAATAAACCTTGAAATTTTAAGTAGGTGAACCTGTATTTCATCTAATATTCTTGTAAAAATATCTAATAAAGGGCTAAAAACCACTTTTAGTAAATATTCTTATAAAACTACTTTTTAAAAACAAAATTTCGTTAGTAACAATGCCTATTTACTTCTTATTTAGATTAAATATTTATTGAAACCCCTTAATGCGGATCTGAAGTATTCAGGTCAAAGAATCATGGCGACTTTATGCCAAAACTTCAACAAATATTTACCGCTGAAAACGAATATATTTCTCATTTTTCATAACATTGACACATATTATTTGTATATACAATTTTTCACCATACATCGTGGCATTTTCAACTTGAAATTGAATAACTAAAACACTTTAAATTGCTAATAACACCAACAAATAATTCAAAAACGGCGGTCCATAAATGATTTACTCACGCGGAGACAAGCAAAGAATAGAAATTTCGGAGCAATTCGGGTGGCGTCGTGAACACAATGATTTTTAATTGGTGGGTTACTTAGGTTTGGAATAGACAACATGCGCAATGTGCAATGTTACATCTCCGGTCTCTTTTATCTAAGGTTTTAGGTAAATATATATAGTTGTTACAAACCAGTTGGATCAAAAACTACAATAAAATGTACAACTTAGATACTAAGAACAAAATTTTATACTCCTGCCTATTGATAAGATGAATTAAATAATAAGAATGATATCCGCAAGCCACCAATACAGCGAAACAAAAGCTTTAAAAGCTTATCTCAGCAGTAAATAACGTTTTACCCTTTACTCTAGTAATTTGATCGACTTGGAATCCACCTTACAATAACCGAAAATAATTTTTAAAATTTTTAGATTTTGTTAGTGGGTCGTAGAAAAAACACACTCAACTCGAGTGGATTGTCCGTTTCGCACTTAGACAAATAAGCACTTTATTTAAAATGCACAGAAGGGCGAGATGACTTAAATCTATACATTAAAATATAAACTTTTACGCTAGCAGGTAGCTTTGTGTGCCGTACCACACCGCTCTGTCTGAGCCGATCGCTCGTGAAACGTACAAGTGAGACTCGTGCGCCAGCGCAACTTTGAAGTGTACCCAGTTTTTTTAAATACACGTCTTATATGCCCCCCCCCCCCCAAAAAAAAAAGGAAGTTCAAGTATGTAACTTATTATTGGATATATAAATACATATATTAATAGCTGTTTGGATGGATAAAAGTGTGAGTGAATGATTGCGTGAAAAAGGGAGAATTAAAAACATGACAAAACTACTAAATAATTAGTTATGTTCCGTGGATGACCGGGCTTACTTTTAGATTTTTTTAGCACTAGTAACTAATACAGTTTACGACTGTATTTTATTTTTTTGCCCACGTTTGCCCGAATTAATATAAATACCAATATAAACGAGTTAGGTCGCTGTACTAGAAATAAATCGTTCTTATTATTAAATAATTATTATTACTTTTTTACACAGGTTTGGACTCCGATGCCTTATTTTTGACACCACGTGAGTTGTTTATGATAATGAAGAACTCTGGTCATAAGAAACTTGAAGATCAGATAGACTCCCTTCAAAAGGAAATTAAAAAAAGGACGGGATGTGTCAGTGACTTTCGGACAGCTATTTCGCAAACGATAAATCGTTTTAAAGCTATTAGTCACGATGGGAAGCAGCGCACCGCATGGAAAGTAGATTTTGCGAAAAAAATAACACGTGGCTACATTCGTCACTTGCCTCTCCTACACGTAAAAAAAAGTATTCCCGGTCGTCCTGCAATACCATTTGAGGAGAGCACAGAGAGGATAAAGCGACAAAGGACTCAAGAATTAAGAAAATCTACGCCTTTACCTGAGCTCGTTTATGCCACAAAAATGAAATTAAAAGCTTCGGGACAGGGCGCGGCCTCCAAAATAATTAAAGATATTTTATCTGATCCATCAAAACCTAGTAAATATTTAAAAGCCTCTCAACAGTCACTTGAGACAGATACGATGATGTCAAGAGAGGATGCTGTAGCACTCCTAGTGGAAGCTGATTTGTCTCGTCATCAGTACAATATATTGAAATCAAAATCTCCAAAAGTCTATCCGTCTTATAAAATCGTAACGGCAGCAAAAAAATGTTATCCGGAGCCTAATAAAGTCAGAGTTAGCGAAACCTCTGTACAGCTTAATTTGCAAACAATGCTTGATCTTACTGTGGGAACTTTATTTGTTTATCCCATCAATAAAATATTTAAGCAGTTTGAAGATATATTTACAGAAGTATAATTATTGTAAAATAGAAATTAATGACATGTCATGTATATAATTGTAAAATCAAAAAATGTCATAATAACTTTTTTGTTTTATCTTCAATATCCTCTCTCCCGGCAACCAGGGAGCCACGGTGAAGTGAGCTTAATATTTATCTATCCACGACTGCCACAACGATTGGAGGTTATAAATTTGCGATAACTATGATTAAGGTGAAAGGTAGTAATTAGTGCAATAGTAGGCACTATACTTACCACAATACGTTTGGCCTTGGTTCAGAGAGAAGTGTTTCATACACTGAACAGTGAAGAGTTAGAAAATATGTGTTTATTTTCAAAAATGGGGATTTGAAGGCAGCAGCGGCCATAGCTCTTACAATCAAGCTTTTTATGGTTCCGAAGCCAGTGATGAAGCTGTTTTAATAACATGCTTTGTACCCCTACGTTTGATATCTGGGTCGAACGTAATTTGGCAAAATCCTAGACCAAGTTCGACGAGGTATTGCATACCTTAAAAAATAGAATTTGTTAAGGAAAGCACCACAGTTTCCGTCGAAGAAAAAAAAAAGAATATTAATAATTATAATAATAATATTTATTCAGGAAGCAGAATCCATATACATAAAATAGTGAAACACAAGAAGTTTTAACAAAAATACAAGGATTATCTACTATACTGAAAAGGAATCATATTCATCGTAGCCTATCAGAAGACAGACTAAAATGGTTTTCAATACGCCCGGTCAAAATTAATAGTTTAAATATAAACACCCCATAATGGATACACATAAAAAAATTAAAATTGTAATTAATAACAAAGACATCATAAATACCTACCTAGTCTAGTAGACGAAGCTCAATGAAAATTAGTGAACGTTGCTTCAAGCAATAAATATAAAAATATACAAAGATCAATCAAATAATCACAAATTAATATTTATATTTTAAAATCGATCAAAAGATGTCCTCGAAGTAACAAAAATTTCAACTTATTTTTAAAAGTTACACGACTTAATTTTTTAAACTCTGTTGGTATCAGATTCACGATACGGCCTATTAAATATGAAAATGAACTTTTGAACATAGCAGTGGAATGTCGAGGAATAGAGATATCATCCTTTCTGCGAATATTAATATTGTGTACATCGCTCCTGAATCTTATTTTGTTATACAAGTAGGGGGGAGTTTTAAGATTGACAATTTTTCGGTAGAGACAACAGAAGTGTAAAAAACGCGCTTCCTGAACAGATAGCCAAGACAATTCAAATCGCTTAGCTGACACTCTTTGCCTTTTTTAAAATTATACACTAATTTAATACAAATATTTTGCATGCGTTGAAGACGTTGACTATCATATCGTGTTACACAAGGGCCATATACCGAATCGCAATAATGCATATGTGAAAATACTAGTGATTCGCACAACGTACGTTTCGCTTGATGAGTTAAGATGTATTTATTTGCATATATCATTTTTATGTTAGTCATACATTTTTTTACAATCTGATTTACGTGTTTTACAAACCGTAGATCCGTATCTAAAAATAAGCTCAAGTTTTTTGATATTTCCGAAGTAGGTAAAGTTTCATTATTTACTATAATCTTAAATTGATCCTTTTATTGTAGCCGACAGTGCTTTCGACCAAACAGCACGGTTTTTGATTTAGAAGAATTTATATCAAGGCAGTAGTCATTAGATAATTGAAAAAGTGCCGTTAAATCCCTAGTTATATTTTTAATGTTATTATGAAAATCTTTAGGGGGAAAGGATATATATAACTGTGTATCGTCGGCATAAAAATGTGAGCGGCAATGCTGAAGGCAATCTTGAAATAAACAAGTATAAATACAAAAGAATGGAGGCCTGAGAATAGAACCCTGTGGAACACCGTTTGTTATATTTTTTGGAGAAGATAAACGATTATGTAATTTAACTCTTTGAAACCTACCACTTAGGTAGTTACGTACTAAATTCAAAGCTGTATCGCTAAAACCAATGAAACGCAAGACTCCTAGCAACAGCTGATGATTAATTCTATTAAAGGCTTTACTGTAATCAAGAAGTACTAGAATAGTAAGAAGGTTATTATCACTTGCCGTAATGATATCATCAGTTATTTACAGTAGTGTCGTATTAAAATAATATAATATAGTTTTAAGAGTAAAATAAAACACAGTAAACAGATTTTTTTATTGTTGTAATACAAGTATAAAGGGAGATTTGGGAATGTACATGGTATTACCTTATCCTTTAATTTTAGCTTTCCCCTTTTTATTTTCCTAACGGTACGATCAGTAAAAATAGTCTTATAATATTTGATAATATCTTTTAAAAAGTATAGAACAGAATCATCTCTAGAAAGTGCTTCATCGCAGAAGAAACGATATATATGCTGTCACTGTTCTAAACGTTTAGTATCCTATAAAAAACATTTACAATGACACAATTATTGGGGTCCAAAAAAAAATAACAGCGGCAACTCTTTATCTAACATTAAAACTCTATTAAAATAAATTTTCTTTTCTACTAAGTTAACTTTAATACATAATTATTGTTGTTTGTAAGTCAGCATCTATAACTGTAAAATTTTATATTACAGAAACTTGTAATAAAATAAACTACACTTCGTAAGATACATATTGTGACTAGTTTACATTAAATATTATATTTAGACATGAATACATTATTTTACTTACATTAGAAGATTTAAAAAGACATTGAATTGATTTTTTCTTGTGTTTTCTTTAGTTTTACATTTGAGTTTTATCCTGTTTTACAATCTGAAACGACGTAAATCTTGCTTTGATGTTTTTTGTCCCTCATGTTACTTGTACTCAGATACTTTTTTTCACATTATTTTGATTTTTTTCACCAATTTTTTAAAAAATCACTTCATTTTACATCGACTTACATAGAAAATTGACTACGCTGTCATTAGACATGCCAACTACAGTCAATTTTGCAAACTTTATAAAAAGAAGGACGGAAATTTGAAATTTGACCATTGTCGATTCGCCTCCTTCTCTCTAGTCTTCATAATTTATTCTCAATAACTAAAAAATATACTGACAATTAGTTTGACAGAATTGTCACTTATTTAAAAATAATAACTGTCGGTTGACCAAAATATGAACTGTAATTCCATTTCTCACTTCCTAGAATGGATATGAAATATATTCGTTTATAGTTGAACGCAATAGCAAACTTTTTCGTTTTGAAGTCTGTTCGTAGATAAGCTAATATCCATGTGGGTGTAGAAAACCTCTTATTTGTTGACCTAATATTTTGCAATATACATAAAATGAGAAATATTAAAAACCTAATTAAGTTAATTACTTAAATGGTTTGTAAGGTAGTTTGAAATAAATTAAATGTACCATACTCCGACTTTTACAAATCCTAATGGTTAAAGGACACTGTGGACTCATAATGCATATTATTTTTATCTAATTAGGTACTCTCCTCCATTATAACTCATGAAAATCGCCCTATAGAGAAACTAATTTAATAGAAGATCTTTATTATTAACGTTTCCATTGTTTTAATTCGGTTGATTTTGAATATTAAATTGCATAGAATTCGCACAATACCACATCTCTCAAATTTAGTGTCCTTTTGACATTGACCATTGTTTCTGGATTTTCTAATGAAAGGAACAAAAAGCCGTACAATGAGTTAATTCCATTCTAATAACTCATTAGCACGGGTCTGAATCGTTTAAATACAAGAAGTGCCCTAGCCGTTCGGTAGTGGAAATGGTAGGCAAAATAATGGTGCCATAAGGAATGTTGTTTTCATCTCGTTTATCTCACTAAAATACAGAAAACCCACTGTGAAAACAGATCAAGGACTTACTGATAATTAAGATTTTAAAGACATAACAAAGCTAATCCAACGCAACATGGAATAATTAGCTATCCGCATGGGTCCAACTTCAAACCAACATCGCGTGCAAAAACCCTTCTCTTACAACATAAATTATTTTCTGAGAGTAATATGAGATCGAATAGACAGATCAGGACAATCTGAAGCTGTGCTACAAATAAAAGATTATATATTTTTTTTTTTTTAGTTTAATTCACAGTGATATGAAACTTTATTATTATCTCATACAGGATGTGGCACAATATACGATAGGTAGCTAAGTTAAAAATAATGTACTATACGTATGACATTAACGGTTATATTTTTTAAAATATTCTTTATACCTGGCCATTGTTTGGTGAAATTAAATAATACAATTAAACGACAAGACAATTACTATTTTAAATTTTACTCTATTGACACATACAAGTGGAAACAAGATGATTAACAAAAGCTTTTTATTCGCTCTGTGCGCGACAGCAGCGCCAATTCGTTTTGATACTAATGGACTATTTCTGCATACACTGACAAATGCAACTTTTAATAGAATTCGTAATTAAAAAGTATATATTGTAGTTTTAATAAAAGTATATGGATTTGTAAAACAAGTAAAACATTAATTTTTTATTATTATATATTTTTATCGCTTAAATTAAAGAAAATTATGTATAATCGATAAAAATGAATAATAAAATATAGGCAGGCAACAGTATTTACTGGAAATTGTATGAGAAGTTGCCTAAGTCTAATAAGTTTTCATTGAAGAATTACTCTAATCTGTCAAAATAAAAAAATTCCATTTAATAATAGCGTGAAGTTAAAATGTATAAAAAAAGGATCATTACTTATATTTTCATTTTTGTTCGAAAGAAAACATAGAATGAATGATTAAAACTGATTTCCCATCAGTAAGTTACAAAATTGCGTTCCAACCACATATAATAATCAAAGGCAGAAATCTT